TGTCGGCGGCAGAAGCTCAGCGCAAGGAAAACGCTGAAAAGACTGGTCTGCTGTACGTGCTAATGCTAATTGGCGCCTTCTTTGTACGGCTGTTCTCCTCTTCCTCCTCCTCCTCCTCTTCTAAAAATGAAAGAAGCCAAAACAACGTTGAAAGCACTCACATTGCCTCCAATGGATCGCCTACTCGTGTTCAGTCCTACTCGGTGATGGTTGGTGGTCACAACAACTCGGAGCCGGTAAAATCAACATATTCAGAAGGATTTTTAGAGCCTAAGAATTCTTTTGAAGAGATTCATCGTTTGGGGGCGTATTTTCAACAGGTCGCCGACGTTGCCGGTGAAGCTAAGCAGTGCATTGACAATGTACTTGTTGCTTTGTAATTTTAAAACTTTTAAAATAATTTTTTTGTAAATCGAATGTTCTAAAAATAACCAAACTGTCTGGTTTGCTATAATCAATTTGCGATTTGCAATTTTCACATCATATTCTATTAGCTTTCATAAAGCACAGTTTAAACAAAATTAGATTTAATCGCAACTTTGTTTTTTACTTTAGTCTTTATCGCAGTGTTTTATCTTTGTTTTCCCATGCTACTAAAGTAGTTTACAGACAAATTGCTAAACGACACAAAAACAAACTTTTCATCAAAATTAACAAGAAAAAATCTAATCAGCAATTGGAAGTATAAAGTTTAAACAGAAGTTATCAAGCAAGGAAACCTTGAAACCCTTGTCACAAACACATTCTCACAGATTTCTGCAACACTTTTTGTTGGCGTGTGTAATTGCAAAAAAACAATTTTTCGCTGTTACTGGCAGTGGTTCTAACTTTTTCAAGTTCAACCAAACTGATCGACTGCAATTTATGAGAAAAACAAAATTTCCTCTTAATGACAGCATTTTTCACTAACTAGCATCCTACTTCATCCAACAACAAATCAAGTACATGATAACATCAATAAAAAAATCTTGCCAAAATAAAGACGATTATACATACAGCGCACATGCAAACATTTACAACAGCAAACAAACTTTAGTCGCGTTTTTTTTAAAAACAAAACTGTAAATAGTATATTATTTTAATTTAAAAAAATAAAATTTTGACAACCCAGCAAAATGGCTGTTGTTGCTGCCTTGGCTCCCCTTGCCCCTCAAATGGTAAAATGTGCAACTATTTTTACTGAACACCAACAAACTAATGCTAAAACCTGCTGTTTGTTCCAGAAACAAACGGCCATCCTTGAGAACCTCGGCAGCGGACGACAGCAGGTACAGGACCTGCTGGCCCTCTTTGTGGACGGTAAATCCGGCCGGGGGCACTCGGAAAAGGTGACCGATTCGGTGCACCAGGCCTTCCAGGCGCTGCAGGGCCTGAATGAGGCGCCCGAGCTGGAGAGGACTCTCGCCCAGCTGGCCAACTGCCCGGTGGGGCGGGAGATTGGCGAGCAACTGGCCCGGGAGCTGCCCACCGTCCTTGCCAGCCTCAACTCGGCCCTGCTGCGGCGGCAGTACCGCCTGACGGACAAGTCGATGGCCGAGCTGGGCGTCCTCCAGGCGCGCCGCCTCCAGGAAGCCTGGACGGAAATTAAAAACTCCCAGCAGCTAAGTGCCCGGGCCGCCGCCACCATCATCCCCGAGATTGACCTGCGCCTGCGGCTGATGGAGACGGAGTACTGCGTCAAGATTAAGAAGTTCATCGCCGCCACGGAAAGTCCGCAGTTCAGCCCGGCGCAGCGGGCGAACATCGTCGAGAAGGTGAAGACGCTGTACATTGCCCTGCGCTCCGAGTACAATCGCGTCACGGCGGACATTAGTAAGTCGCTGCAGTTTTTTTCCCCTTATTAGATTTGTTTAAAAAGATTTGCTCATTTCAACCGATCTCATTTTTTACTCATTTTTTTGAACTTTTTAACTTCTTTGCAGACAACCTCAAGCTGGAGATTGCCGGCCAGGAGATTCGCCTCCGTCACCAGGACAAGCTGCAGACTGATCTGATGGTGCAGAATGCGGTGATCGGCATCGTCGGCGTGGCCAAGAATGGCCTCGCTGATAACTGGTCCGCCGCCGCCGAGGTGGCCGGCGCCGCCGTGGGCAACATTCTGGAGAGCTGGCACACCAAGGTGGCCATCGGCCGGGAGATCAGCAAACTGGAAACGATCTTCGCCCAGGTTCAGGCGCTGGAGGTGCGCCTGGCCGAGGTGGCCCAGGTGAAAGCGCTCGCCGAGGAGTTTCTGCGCGCAAACGGCGTCAACGTGGCCCAGTTGCAGAAAGAAGGATAGCCTACTCTTTTTTTGGAGGGTAGTTTTTTGTGTGTTAGTAAAATTGTTTTTTAAACATTTTTAAACGTGGTTTTAATTTTTGCCAAAAACAGGAGAAGTTGTGATTACTCTTTTAGTTTATACTTGTGAAATGTGAAAATAAAGATCATTTTTTGAACTACAAAACATTTAAAAACAAAACATGTTTTTCTACACAAATTTTATTTACAACATTAAAAAACAAAGTTTTAAACAAAATTAAAATAACACAACAAAAATTTTTATTTATGTTTTAGTTGTTAAACTTTTAAAAGTTTAACAAACGATCTAAAAAGTTATTACTAATTAAAATAAAAAGTTCAACTTTTTTTATCTGAAAATACTTAATTTTAGCTAACTAAAGCATAACAATACATAAGAAATTCGCCATAGAGAAGAACACACTAAAATTTTATTACATAAAAAACTATAAGTTTTTTAAAAATTGAATCAAAAACATCTTACTCTTGTAAAGGCTTTCATGCTCACAAGGCCCAAACCTGATGAAAAACAAAATAAAATAAAAATTTACAAAAATTTACATAAAACTAACAAAATCCATGCACTCCACTTACCGCCGTAGGTCACGCCATATCTTCTGCGCACCACCAGCCGTTGAATATGCGTGCTGAGAAGTAATCGATCTTTTGTAGGAGTAAAACTCTCTGAAGTAGCAGAAGTGGCAGCACTGTAGCCAAGCAGCATCCTGCCTGCCCGGTGAATGTAACCGCTGTAGTGGGCCATGTAGAGGTGCAGCAGAAGGCTGCNGTCGATCTTTTGTTGGAGTAAAACTCTCTGAAGTAGCAGAAGTGGCGGCACTGTAGCTGAGCAGCATCCTGCCTGCCCGGTGAATGTAACCGCTGTAGTGGNATCGATCTTTTGTAGGAGTAAAACTCTCTGAAGTAGCAGAAGTGGCAGCACTGTAGCCAAGCAGCATCCTGCCTGCCCGGTGAATGTAACCGCTGTAGTGGGCCATGTAGAGGTGCAGCAGAAGGCTGCCCACGTAGGCCTCCAGCGAAACGCCCACCATGATGGTCATTGGGAGGATGTCAATGTGGCCAAACAGCACTTGCGACATAAAGTAGGCGGAGAGGGGGCCGTGCAGGGCGAAGAAGACCAGCGTCTGTTTGCCGTAGAAGTCGTCAAAGAGAAAGACGAGGCGAAAGAGGGAAAGATTTCGCCTTAAAAGGGTGAACAGCAAAAGGCGGTGATGATGACTCGCTGGTTTCCCCTTCACCGTAGAAGAGCCACAACTTTCCATCTCCATTTGCTGCTTTCCCCTTTTCAGCTCCTCCCTCAACTGCCCATTGTTCTCCCGAAACTGAAGGACAATGAAGGTGAGACCGACGGTAAAGTTGACGCCCACCAGGATGAGCACGTGGCCAAAGGCGAACCAGACGAGGCAGTTGAGGGCGACGTGCAGTAGGTGCAGCGGAAAAAGAAGGGCCGTCCAGAAAGTAGGTAATGAGAAGTTTGGCAGGTAACAGTCCAGAAAGGCCCCTCCTGCCATCAGCATGAAAACCGGACAGCAGACGTCGATAATGAGCGTGAACACCTGCAGGGAGTGCACCGTCAGGCGGATCACCTGCCGGAAGGTGACCGGAGTTCCGGAGGTCAGCGGCAGCTGAAGCCCGGTTTCCGCCGCCAGAGTGCGCTCCTCCGAGAAGGCCCTGCTCAGCATTTCATTCAGCGGCCGACTGTAGGCAAAGTACATTGACCAGTAGAGGAGGACGGTGTAGAGGGCGATGCCGGCGTAGATGAAGTAAAACTGGCGGTCCTTGAGCATGAGAATGAAGACGCCATCAGCAAAAAGAATGCGATCTGATGGACTGAGCGGAAACAGTGGGAAGACGAGGCAGTTGAGAGCGATAAAGTAGGCAAACAGGAGAAGGTACACTTTAAAAAGGGTAATAGAGTTGCGGTTCTTCTCTACGGCCACCGCTTCGGCTGCGGCAAAGTACTGCCGATAGAAGCTGATACTTTTGAAGGGAGATGCTGATTGTATAAATGCACTAAATGAGTGATTAAAAGTAAACTTAAGCCGGTCGATGAAGATACTTTTGGCCATTTTAAAAAAATTTAAAAATATTAAGTTTTGTTTTTAGGGATTTTTACTGTTACTGAAAATTTTTAATGACTTGGTAATTTAATTTTAATTGTGCCAAAAATATTTTTGTGTATTAAAATGAAAAATACTTTAAAATGCAGTACTGTTATTAAAATAAAAAATTACTTTACAAAAATCAATATTTTTCATTAAAATAAAAAATTCAGGTTGCTACTAGAACTACGCACTAAAAATGAGAAAAGTTTTAAAAAAAACTCATATTTCGTGCACCAAAATTTTAAAATTTGAATTTTGAGTAATTTATTACAAAGGCTCGTTTTGCTTCGCTAACTTCTTTAAACTTTACAGTGCACTGCTAAAATTTTTCTTAAAAATAGAGCCAACTGTTCTTGTTTAAAAAAAACTTTCAAGAATTTGCAAAAAGTAATTTTAATTTTTGCCAAACATTAAAAACAAACTAAAACAAAAAATAAAGTAGTAAATGAGGAGAGGCGGGGGCGAATAAAAGGATGAAAATAACAAAAAGTTGCCCCCAACAAGAATAGTAGCAGCTGCGGCAAAAAAGCAAAAAAAACTGCCCAGCTGTGTAAATGCTGATGCAAAGAGCAGTAGCTACTTAGGCAGCTGCTGAAGATGCTACTTCTGCATCGCCCGCATCTTCGCCTTGAAGAGCTCCTCCCGCTGGACCAGGGCCTTCTGGCGACGCACCAGGTCGGCCTTATCGGTGATGGGCGTCGGCAGGGGCCGGGGCGAGGGCACGCTGATGCCCACCAGGGCGCACAGCTCATTGAGGAACTTCTCCTGCTGCTGGAGGAACTCCAGGTGGGGCGCCAGCTGAGGGTCGGCGGCGGGAGCCTTAGCTGAGACCGGGGCCACCTCTTCCTCCTCTGGGCCTGCTGAAACTGGACGGCTGGCGGCGGTGTCAAAGGACTTGGGCGGGGCTGGAGGAGCTTTCTGCGCCTCCCCTTCTTTGGGAAGCTCCTCCTCCTCTTCCAAGGGCACCAGCTCCTGGTCGTCATCGTCCTTTTTCTCTTTAGGAGTTCTCTTCCTGCCTCCCACCGCATCGTTGACCTGCCTCATCAGCTCGTCCACCTCGGGGTCGCCGGTCGGTTCGGGCTCGGTTTGCGGTTTTTGCTGTTGTTTCTCCTTTGGCAGCGGAGCGCCGCGCTGCAGCGCCACATTGGACTTCTGGTGGAGGATGGGCTTGTGACCGCCCTTGGGCGGGGCATTTTCAAAGGGCGCCGGGGTGGTCTCCGGTGACTGCTGCTTCTGAGACTGAGGGGCGAGATTGCTCTCCGAGGACTGCAGTGTGATGGTGGTCGACGGCTCGGAGGAGTCATCGAGGGCGGGCAGGCTTTTAGGGCCCTTTGAGGAGGGCTCCTTAGCAGATGGGCGTGGAGTGCTGCTGCCTCCCTCTTCTTCATCTGCTTTGGCTGGCTTCTTTGAGGAGCCCAGAGAGAGGGGAACGCCTCGGGGAGCAATGGGAGCACTGCTGTCTTTGCCCGCTGGAGTGCCACCCTTGGGTTGCTCGCTTTGCTGCTCACCGGGAGTGGGAGTTGCCGATGCTCCGACCGAGTCTTTGCCTGGAGTCACACTTTTACTCTTTGATGGGCCAGCACTTCCGCCACCATCATCCTCTGCTCCGGGAGTGGCACTGGCCGGAACTCCGCTTTTATCTCCACTTTTACCGCTGGATGGCGGCTTTGATGACGAATCTTTGAACAAGAGAGAAAAAAATTTTGTTATAAACAAAAGGAGAAAAAGTGAAAAGTTCCATTTGCCCTTACCTTTGCCTGCACCAGCAGCGCTGGGAGTTTGCGAGGGCTCCTCCTCCTTAGCAGACGGGCTCGAAGTGACACTGCCATTAGCATCGTCAGGCATCTTTGAGGAGCCACCCCCTGAGACGGGAACGCCTCTCGGAGCGATGGGTCCTTTGTCTTTTTGAGCAGGAGTACCCTTGGGCTGCCCATCCTCAGCAGCGGGAGTGGGCGTCGCCTTGCCACTACTACCACCACTCCCACTACCAGCAGAGTCCTTGTCGCCGGGAGTTGCACTTTTCTCCGCAGAGCCAGCAGAGCCAAGAGTGGCCGGATAAGCAGTAATCCGCGTCCCACTATCGGCACTAGGAGCTTGGAAAGGCTCTACCTCCTTCTCCTCCTTGGCAGATGGGCTCGGAGCACTACCTGCGTCTTCCTCAGCTGGGCCCTTCTTTGAGGAACCGCCCCCTGAGAGGGGAACGCCTCGAGGAGCGATGGAAGCACTGCCGCTGTCCTTGCCAGCAGGAGTACTTTTGGGCTGCTCAGCAGGAGTACCCTTCTGCAAATCCTTGGCCGGCGTTTGGTCGCCTTTGCCTTCGGGATCCTTTTTCGGTGAGGGCGGCGGCTGCTTTCCTCCATCAGTGCCGGCGGCGGCTTTGCTCGGTTTTGTCTTCTTTTTCTTCTTTTTCTTTGGGTCCTCCTCTTTTCCAGTGTTTTCTTTTTCCGGCTTCTCTTCCGGTCGCTTGTAGTAGTTGTTGTCGAGAAACTTCAGCTCCTCGGGGGAGAGCTTCGCCAGGTCGCGGGCGGAGCGAATGCGCAACGCCTCATCCGAGGGCGGCTTCTTCGAGGACTGTTGCACTGAGCTGGGAGTTTTTGCCGGCGGCTCCTCAGCCTCATTTGAGGCGGGCATCTCCCGCTTGTCGGTAACCGGCGTCGGCCAGGTCTTCTCCGGGTCCTCCTCCTCAGGCTGCTTCTTGCCTGGAGGAGCTTGGCTCTCTTTGCCCGGCGCCGGTGGAGGCTCGTCCTTGCTCGAGTTGACATTCGCCCAGGGCTCCGTCTCCGAGTCGGGCTCCCACAGGTCGAGCGGCTCCTCCTTGGCCTGCTGCTGGTCTGCTTTGTCTTTGTCTTTGCCAGGAGAAGGAGGAGGAGGAGCAGTTCGAGCAGACTTGCCGGGCGGCTCCTCCTTCTGGTTCTCATCTTGTTCCTTTGGCTCCTGCTCTGGCTTTTGCTGCTGCTGCGAAGGCCCAGGCGAGGAGGACAGATCCACGGTGCGCCCCTTCAGCGGACTACCACCAGCACTTGGGGCGCCTGAGCTGCGAGCAGAGGAGGGCTGCGAAGGCTGGGAACGGTCCGCAGAAGAATCGGGCGGCTGGGAGCTTAGACCACCATCAGCAGCAGAAGGAGTTGGTGGTTGGGAGCGATCAGCATCAGCAGCTGATGAATCAGGCTGTGAACGGCCACCACCGGCAGAAGGAGTGGCCTGGGAGCGATCAGCAGCTGAAGAGTCGGGCTGAGAGCGACCACCACCATCAGCAGCAGAAGATGCCGGCTGCGATTGATCAGCAGCAGCAGCAGACTCGGGCTGGGAACGAACACCAGGAGAAGGAGTTGCCTTGGAGCTGCCAGCAGAAGATAGCGGTGGCTGGGAGCGATCAGCAGCTGAAGAGTCGGGCTGTTGGGAGCGACCGCCGCCAGCTGAAGGCGTCAACTTGGAGCTGCCCGCGGAAAGTGGCTGGGAACGTCCATCAGCAGCAGCTGAAGAGTCGGGTGGCTGAGATCGATCATCGGCAGAAGATGGCGGCTGAGAACGACCACCACCACCACTACCACCAGCAGAAGGAGTTGGCTGGGAGCGACCATCAGCAACAGCGGAAGAAGAATCAGGCAGCTGGGAGCGATCCGGTTCGCCTGCACTCTGGCCCGCAGCACTGCTCGGCGGCTGAGATGACGCCGAGGGTGGCGCCGAGGGCTGCTGCTGCGAGGGCCCGGGCGAGGAGGACAGGTCCACGGTTCGCCCCTTCAGCGGCTGACCTTCTTCAGAACCCCTCTTCTCCTTCTTTGCCGAAGGCTGCTGAGAGCGGTCTTTGTCGCCCTCACTACTTTTCTTCCTCTTTGCAGAAGCGGGCGGAACAGGCGAGGGAGAGGGCGTGCGAATGGGAATCTTCGAGAGACTGGCCGGCAGTCGAAGGACGGCAGAGGAGGGCGACGACGGTGAGGGAGTTTCACTGGATTTGGTGCTGTCCGGAGCGGCCATTGGAATGTTCGACTTTGAGCTGGTTGGCTGCTGCTGCTGCTCACTGGCGGCAGAGCTGGGTGCAGTGCCGGACTGCGGAGCTGAATCTGACAAAAAGAGGGGAAATGTTGTAACAAAAGTTGCTGCTAAAGTTCTATCTCCCCCCCTTTTTCCCACTTTACCTTTGCCCTCCTTGGCACTGGGAGCTTGTGATGGTTCCTCCTCCTCCTTGTCCTTAGCAGACGGAGCACCACCGTCGTCAGGCTTCCTTGAGGAGCCCCCTGAGACGGGAACACCCCTCGGAGCGATGGCAGCACCACCGCTGTCCTTTCCGGCTGGAGTACCACCCTTGGACTGCTCCACAGGAGTGGGCACTGGAGTGCTCTTTGCGGAGACCATGGCCGGGGTGGGGGCATCATCCTTGCCGCTGCCAATGTCCTCCTTTGCCGGCTCTTTACCGGTTCCATCCTTGCCCGTTTTGGGGGCACCTTTTTCTCCCTTTTCGCCACCCGGAGCTTCCTTTCCAGCTGGAGTAGCAGTAGCCTTGGAGGGCTCATCCTGCAAAAGAGCGGCAGAGTCCTTTGCTGGGGTCTCACTTTTGGCGCTGGGAGCCTTTGAGGACTCCTCCTTGGCAGACGGGCTCGGAACACTACCGTCATCTTTGCTGTCAAGCTTTTTCGAGGAGCCCCCAGAAATGGGAACACCTCGAGGAGCAATGGGAGCACCGCTGTCTTTGCTTGCTGGAGTGCCACCCTTCGATGGTTCATCCTGCTGTTCACCGGGAGTTGGAGTTGCTGAAGCACCGGCCGAGTCCTTGCCTGGAGTCACACTTTTGCTCTTTGATGGGCCAGCACTGCCACCACCATCATCATCCTCTGCTCCGGGAGTGGCACTAGGCTGAGCGTTTTTATCTCCACTTTTTCCGCTGGATGGCGGCTTAGATGACGAATCTTTAAAAGGGAGAGAAAAGTTTGTTGTTATAAACAAAAGTAGAAAGTGAAAAGTTCCATTTGCCTTTACCTTTGTCTGCACCAGCAGCGCTGGGAGTTTGCGAGGGTGCTTCCTCCTCCTTCTCCTTAGCAGACGGGCTCGAAGTGACACTGCCATCAGCATTATCAGGCTTCCTTGAGGAGCCACCCCCTGAGACGGGAACGCCTCGCGGGGCACCGCTGTCTTTGCTAGCTGGAGTGCCACCCTTGGACCCTTGCTCGCTCTGCTGTTCACCGAGAGTTGGAGTTGCCGAGCCCTCTTTGGCTGGAGTGGCACTTTTGCTCTTGGACGGAGCTCCAGGACTGCCACCACCGCCACCACCATCATCATCATCCTCTGCCCCGGGAGTAGCACTGGCCGGTGCTCCACTTTTGGCACTGGGAGTCCGTGAGGGCTCTTCTTCCTTAGCAGACGGGCTTGGAGTGACAGCAGCTGAGTCTTTCGCTGATTCAGGCTGAGAGCGGTCAGCTGAAGTTGGCGGCTGAGAACGACCGGCAGAAGACGAAGTTGGCTGGCAGCGGTCGGCAGAAGAGTCCGGCTGGGAACGATCATCCGCCGACGAATCAGGCGGCTGAGAACGGCCACCACCACCAGCAGCAGAAGGAGTTGCCTTTGAGCTGCCAGCAGAAAGTGGGGGCTGGGAGCGACTACCATCATCAGCAGCAGAAGATGCAGGCTGCGATTGATCAGCAGCCGAGGAGGAGTCGGGCTGGGAGCGATCCGGTTGAGAGCGACCACCACCACCACCAGCAGAAGGAGTTGCCTGGGAACGGTCAGCAGAAGGCTGTCGGGAGCTGCCAGCAGAAGGCTGGGAACGATCAGCAGCTGAAGGAGCTGATTGAGAACGATCAGCAGCTGAGTCCGGCTGGAAACGGCCAGCAGCAGAAGGAGCTGAAANCAGCTGATGAATCAGGCTGCTGGGAACGTCCATCAGCAGAAGGAGCTGGCTGGGAGCGATCAGCAGAGGAATCGGGCTTCTTTGAGGTGCCCCCAGAGACGGGAACACCTCGGGGAGCAATGGGAGCACCGCCGCTGTCCTTGCCAGCTGGAGTGCCACCCTTGGACTGCACCACCACCGGACTGGGCACTGGAGTGCTCTTGGCGGAGACCATAGCCGGGGTGAGGGCATCATCACTGCTGCCATCCTCCTTTCCCGGCTCTTTACCGGCTCCATCCTTGCCACCCCTGGGACCGGGAGTAGCCGCCTTGGGAGCACTCTTTCCTTCATCTTTTCCACCGCCACTTTGAACACTGGGCGCCTTTGATGATGGCTCTTTAGCAGATGGGCGTGGAGCGCTACCTCCTCCCTCTTCCTCCTCCTCACCAGCAGTTTTGTCAGGCTTCTTTGAGGAGCCCAGCGAGAGGGGAACGCCTCGAGGAGCAATGGGAGCACTGCTGTCTTTGCCTGCTGAAGTGCCACCCTTGGGCTGCTCGCTCTGCTGTTGACTGGGAGTGGGAGTTGCCGAAGCTTCGGCGGAGTCCTTTCCTGGAGTGACACTTTTGCTCTTTGACGGAACTCCAGCACTGCCACCGCCATCATCCTCCTCTGCTCCGGGAGTAGCACTGGGCTGGGCACTTGGTGCTTCACTTTTGGCGCTGGGAGCTAATGTTGAAAGCAGTGTTGTTAGAAAGAGGCAGTAAAAATAGAACTCTTGTTTTGTTTTGTGCCTTACCTTTGCTTTCACTTTTGGCGCTGGGAGTTTGCGAAGGCTCCTCCTCTTTGGCTGACTGGCTCAGAGTAGCAGTGGCATCAGCTGAAGACTCAGGCTGAGAGCGATCAGCAGCAGCCGAGGAGTCGGGCTGGGAACGGTCATCAGCTGAAGAAGGCGCTGGCTGGGAACGATCAGTTGAAGAGCTGGGCTGAGATCGACCAGCAGGAGTTGGTTCTGAGCTGCTAGCAGATGACTGAGGTTGAGCTCGATCAGCAGCAGAAGAGTCCGGCTGGGAACGACCATCAGCAGGTGATGGTGCTGGCTGAGAGCGACCAGCTGAGGAGTCGGGCTTCTTTGAAGAGCCACCAGAGACGGGAACACCCCTTGGAGCGATTGGGGCAGCGTAATCCTTGCCAGCTGGGCTAGCCTTGGCCTGCTCTCCCACCGGACTGGGCACTGGAGTGCTCTTAGCGGAGACCATGGCCGGCGTCGGGGCGTCATCTTTGCTGCCGCCGATGTCCTCCTTTGCCGGCTCTTTACCGCCGTCTTTTTCCGCCTTGGGAGCACCTTTTTCGCCCTTTTTGCCACCCGGTGCCTTAGAGGCGTCCTTGCCAGCTGGGGTAGTGGCCCTTGAGGGCTCATCCTGAGAGGGAGCGGCAGAGCGGTCTTTAGCAGACGGGCTCGGAGTGCCACCATCAGCTGGGTCTTTCTTTGAGGAGCCCCCTGAGAGGGGAACGCCTCGCGGAGCAATGGGAGCACTGCTGTCTTTGCCTGCTAGAGTGCCACCCTTCGATGGTTCATCCTGATGTTCACCGGGAGTGGGAGTTGCCGAAGCTCCGGCCGAGTCCTCCTTGCCTGGAGTCACACTTTTGCTCTTTGATGGGCCAGCACTGCCACCACCATCCTCCTCTGTTCCTGCGNACCCAAGAGGGGAACGCCTCGAGGAGCAATGGGAGCACTGCTGTCTTTGCCTGCTAGAGTGCCACCCTTCGATGGTTCATCCTGATGTTCACCGGGAGTGGGAGTTGCCGAAGCTCCGGCCGAGTCCTCCTTGCCTGGAGTCACACTTTTGCTCTTTGATGGGCCAGCACTGCCACCACCATCCTCCTCTGTTCCTGCGGGAGTGGCACTCGCCGGAGGAGCACTCTGCGCCTCACTTTTGGCACTGGGAGTCTGTGAGGGCTCTTCCTCCTTAGCAGATGGGCTCGGAGTGACATTGCCATCAGCGTCATCAGCTGGCTTCTTCGAGGAACCCCCTGAAACGGGAACACCTCTCGGAGCGATGGGTCCTTTGCCCTTTCGAACTGGAGTACCCTTAGGCTGCCCATCCTCAGCGGTGGGAGTGGGCGTCGCCTCGCCGCCACCAGCTGAGTCCTTGTCACCGGGAGTTCCACTTTTCTCCGAGCCGGCAGCACCAGGAGTGGCACTCTGCGCCTCACTTTTGGCACTGGGAGCTTGGGAGGAGTCCTTAGCAGAGGTACCGGGAGTGCCGCTAGCACCCTCATCTTCGTCAGGCTTCTTCGAGGAGCCGCCACCTGAGACGGGAACGCCTCGAGGAGCGATGGGAGCACCGCCGCTGTCCTTGCCAGCAGGGCTAGCCTTTTCCTGCTCCACCGGACTGGGCACCGGAGTGCTTTTGGCGGAGACCATGGCCGGGCTGGGGGCATCATCCTTGTCGCCGCTGCCGATGTCCTCCTTTGCCGGCTCCTTACCGGCTCCATCCTTGCCATCCCTGGGACTGGGAGCACTCTTCCCCTCATCTTTACCGCCACTTCGAACACTGGGCGCCTTGGATGAGTCCTGAACAGAGGAGCTGGGTGTCTCCTCTTTTGGAGGAATTGCAGAAGGACCCACAGAGAAGGGAATGCCTCTGGGAGCAAGTGGACCCCTGCTCTTGCCCGCTGGAGCAGTCTTTGAGGGCTCGCCTTGGTCATCGCCCGCCTCCCCGTCCTCTTTACCAGCACCGCCTGGGGTGGGCGTCGGCGAGGGCGTCGTCTCGTTGGCGGTGTGCACTGACATCGTCTTCGGCGAGGTGGTCTGGTACTCGACCTGCCTCGGCGGCAGGCGGACCTGACTGCGGACCACCTTGGGCAGGGCCACCTTGCTGCTGCTCACCTGGACGGCGCCCGTTTTGGGCGTGGGGGCGGCGGCGGCATTGCTTTTGCTGCCACTTCGAGGAGGGCCGCCGATGCTCTTGCCGCCGAAGCTGACGGCTCGAGGGGCGGCGACGGCTGCGGCCTCTTTTGAGGGCGGTGGCTTCTTCGACTGACGACTCGTGACCTTGGTCTGCAGAAGAGGAGGAAACAGATTTAGAATGTTGACTCCGCAAAGCAACGTCACCACCACAAAGTTTCCTCTTTTGTTTACCTCCTCGGAGATGGAGGAGCCCTCCTCGTGGAACTTCTCCACGCTCGGTTTGCTTCCTCCTCCTTTGCCACCTCGCTTGCGCCTCTTCCGTCCTTTTCCCGATCCTTTGCCACCACCACCTCCACCACCGAGGGGCGGGGCGCCGTACTTCTTCAGATGGGGATCGGCGTTGAGGAGCTGGGCAAAGGTGGGCGGCACCGAGCTGCCGCTGCCGCTCAGTTCGCCGTCCAGCGTAAAGTCGCGCTGCTTGCTGATGACGTAGCGCAGCTGGCCGGTGGCCAGGTCGCGGTCCACCTTCACCTTCGTCTTCGCCTGCTCCGACTTGGCGAAGTCCAGGGCGAACGGGGAAGAGTCCCCTTCCCCTTCCTCAGTCCCATCCTCCGCCGATGGAAGCTTCTTCTTGCTCATCCTCGGGGGCACGAGAGGGTGCTGTTGATGAGTTTTGCTCTGAATCGGGTAAACACGACCAGCAGCAGGAAAAACGGGGTTGATAAGTTTTGGCTGTTGTTGTTGTTCACAGAAGGAAAGAGATAGAGAGACACGCACTTGCTGCACACTGATCAACGGCTTTTCGCTTTTGTGACAGCTCATCAGCGCGGTCTGGTGCTGATATGCGATAAGTTTTCGAATTTAGAAAAAGAAAAGTCTAAAAAGTAATAATTTTTTGAACTTTTTTGGCTTTTGCCGCCAGATTTAAATCTGAAAGATTCAACTGCTCAATTTGGACCCATTTTGGGCATAGCTCTTTGTTTTGTACATTTTCAAAGTCAAAAATGAGACACTAGTTTTGCTGGTTGTGAAACAGTGAACTCAGTCAAATGTCACCTAACTCAGCGGAAACTGCTGCTGCTGCTGCAACAACAAAACACCGATTGCCACTATCACCTTCATCTAAAGAACACCAACCACTGGCAACGGCTGGCCGAAGGCGTTGAAGACCCACCGGTTTGTCGGAAGAACACTATCATCAGAAAAGAGCAGGTAGAGGTACTTGAAGGTGGCGCCCAGGAAGTGCACCGACCGGTGGTCGGCGGTGTTCAGGCTGGCCGGGTGACGCACCGAGTTGACGTCCCTCACCGCCGCGTACTGCCCGTCCTCCGTTCGAGCGTGCTTGTAAAGAGCTTCGGTCAGCTGCCAGCCGTACTCTCGGTACCGGCCATTTCCGGTACTTTTCCAAAGCTGGAGGTAGCTCTCCGCCAGTTCGTAGAAGCTGTGTGGAGAAAAGAAAGGAGGAGGAAAATGTCAACAAACTTGATCAAAACATTAGATGCTGTTACCCGTTGAATGAGCCCAGAGCTGCTGATGACGATGAGGATGATGAGGACTGTGGCCTGTTACTGTTAGAAATCTGTCCTGAAGTCCACAACTCCAGTGGAAGCAGCTTGGTGGCTGTTCGGTTGGCCGTCTGGTAGCAGGTTTCGGTTAGACTGATGGCCAGCTCCAGCATTCGCTCGGACGTCAGATTGCCACTCTTTTTGTGTTCATTTTTGGCCACTTTTGAGATAACTGACATTGAGGCCAAGGCGAGCATCCCACCTAGCCGACACGCCGACGTGGCCATCGCCTTGGCGTACGACTCCGACGCCAGATTGTACTCCAGCGCGTAGGTCAGGCCGTTTTTGGTCGATTTCCGCAGCATTCCCGCCCTGATCACCGCCTCCATCGCCTCCACGAAGGTGGCCATCACCATCAAGTGATCATCATCATCTTTACCATCACTGGAACTTTTTTTCCTCAAGAGGAGATGTGCCCGCAGGAGGTTGTAGTAGAAGTCGATGCCTCGAGAGCCGAGCGTGGTGATCTGGTGCAGCCAGGCGCCGCTTTCCACGTCGACGATGTGCATGTACAGCCCGCGGACGGTGGTCATCCGCTCCGCCACGAAGCGCTCGATGACCTTCAGTCTACCTTGCAAAAGAAGCCTTTGCTGTTGCTCACTTTTACCTGAAGATAGGATGAAGTTTATGGCTACGATCAGCTNGGTGCAGCCAGGCGCCGCTTTCCACGTCGACGATGTGCATGTACAGCCCGCGGACGGTGGTCATCCGCTCCGCCACGAAGCGCTCGATGACCTTCAGTCTACCTTGCAAAAGAAGCCTTTGCTGTTGCTCACTTTTACCTGAAGATAGGATGAAGTTTATGGCTACGATCAGCTCCGGCTGCTGGTGACCGATCCAGGAGATGGCCGTCCGTCGGCCAAAGGGGTTTTCCGTTTTCAGGTTTAGATGTGAGTAGAGAAGGCCGGTCGGTGAGTTGAAGGCTGGCTCTAGAACCTTCAGCACTTCTAATGCTTTTTCTTTAAAAAGAACATCTTTTGTCAGCGCAAAACAGGATAGCAGTCCGCCGAGGTAGTCGCCCAGCAGCACTTTTACTTCAACATCATCAAGCGTCTTTAGGTTGGAGAGATTTTCCGCTATCCAGGCTTTTCCCGCCTCAAACTCCTCGGTAAGGCTCATTAGATGAAGTGTGCTCATCGCCGTTACGATTGCCTGGCCTCGGTGTTTATCGTATTCACTTGAAGATGAAGATGTGGAGTTGGCATTGTTCATCATCAGAGCGTTCCACGCCTCTCGAGTCATGTTCCGCAGAAACTCCCTGCGGAAAGCTGATTCACCATCATCAACACTAGGTGAGTGCACTTTTTTAGAGGTGGATAAGAACACTACTGCAAAGACTAAAACAAAGATGACAATTGCCAGAGATATCAGGGAAGCCTTTGTTTTGCCGTTCACCCAAGAAGATGACTTTGAATTTGTTGTGTTGTTGTTGTTGTTGTTGTTGTTGCTTAGTGAACTCCTTTTTGGCTGCTCAATCAACGTCTCATCAGCAATTTCCTCTTTTTTCTTTTTTTTATTGTTGAAGTGTTTGAGATGAGACGTTGAAGTTGAATTTGCTGACGAAGAGGTTTCTGGC